TAAGCTTATGATGTTATTTAGACAATCAGTAAGCACCCAAATATTGACTTATAAGAATTGAAATTCTAAACAAGGAATAGGAGACCATGGTAAATGAAGACCACATGAGAACAGGAAGAAGCTAAGTGCTAGAGAGGCCCACAGAAATCCACAAAGATACCCACACAACAGACTGCCGGCAATGGTTGAGAGACAGCCCGAACTGACCTACTCTGGTGATGGGATGGCCAAACACCCTAATTGTTGTGCTAGAAACCTCATCCAACTACTGAGGGATCTGGATGCAGAGATCCATGACTAGGCCCTGGGTGGATCTCTGGGAGTCCAATTAACGAGAATGAGGAGGGTTTATATGAGTGAGAATTGTTGAGACCAAGGTTGGATAAAGCACAGGGACAAATAGCCAAATGAATGGAAACACATGAACTATGAACCAATGGCTGAGGGGTCCCCACTGGATCAGGCCCTCCGAATGGGTGAGACAGTTGATTGGCTTGATCTGTTTGGGAGGCATCCAGGCAGTGGGACCAGATCTTGTGCTCATTGCATGAGTTGGCTGTTTGAAACCTGGGGCCTATGCAGGATTGTTTGGCTCGGCCTGGGAGGAGGGGACTAGACCTACCTGGACTGAGTCTACCAGGTTGACCTCAGTCTGTGGGGAAGGCTTTGCCCTGGAGGAGATGGGAATGGGGGGGGGGGCGTTGGGGGGAAGGTGAGGGGGACGGGAGGGGGGAGAACAAGGGAATCCGTGGCTGATATGTAGAACTGAATTGTATTGCAAAATTAATTAAAATAAATTAAAAAAAAAAAAAAAAAAAGAATTGAAATTCTAATGTGAGCCGAAGTTGGGAAAAGCTTAAGCTATATAAGGTGCTTATATAAGTTTAGGTGCTCCAAAAATCCAAATTGAAGGAAACCTGGTAAGCATGTCTTAGGACTTTAGCTACAGACACACTTCTGTGTAAATCTTCAGCTCATTCCATCATATACATAACTAAGGTCTGTAAAGGACAATGATTTAGTCCTGTTTGAGGAGCTATTTCAGAGGCACGAATCATATTCCACTAGTCTACATATACTCTTTTTCACAAGCTTCTTAAAACAATCTCAACACACCATCTCAATGCAGAAAATCATACATGCTGAGAGGTAGATATCAACACGCGGTTCAGCCTCAAGACAATGTCTCCTCCATTGACATTTACATCCCAAGCCTCCTGGAACTCAGCAAAGTTTATGTGGCTACAGTAAAGAAGTGTATCTAAAATTACTGATCACTAGGTCAAGCATGTATCTTTTTTTTTTTTTCAGAAAGTTCTATAAGTTGATGTTATCAAGTTAAGAAAATATAACAGATATGAATACATTAAATGTTTCATGATACATATATAAAATTAAGATTCATTTTTTTGTTAACATATCATTAAAATTCATGCTGTATTTCTTCACAGCTGGATTTAGCTTTTCCAGAGCTCCCTATATTCCCTTGTAATTGTCTTCTGTAACTTGAAAATCACTTGATAATTTAGTTACATTTTAGCGACCAGATTATATGAAATGTTTTAATATTTTAAAACTATGAAAAATGTTCATCATCTTTCAATTTATATGTAAAACCATAGCATAGTTTTGTGGGGTTTTTTATGTGTATAAGTGTGTGGTGTGTATACATACATGGTTGTATGTGTGTGCACATGCCTGTGTAGCCTAAGGTTAGCAGTGGGTGTACTCAATGGATCCCTACCGAGACGGTCTCATGATGAACCAGAGCTCTCAATTTTGGCTCCTCTACCTAGACAGATGTTTTCTTTGATTCCTGTCTCCACTTGCCATGTGTTGGATTTGTAGGTGGGCTACATGCCCATCCCACGTTCTCTGTTCTGTGCAGAGAACTCTGGCTTCACTCTTTGCATATGGCAAGTGTTTTTCCTGTGGAGCCATGTCCTCGGGTCCACAAAGCTTTCACAGAGAGGAGACTGGGTTGTAAGTTGGCCAGTGATTTACAAAATTTTTATAACAAAATGTTCTTCATTGCAGTTATAATTTTTGTCTTCAATTATATATCTTGAGAATATGTTTTTAATTAAATTGTACAATTGGTCAATTATGTTACTGGAATAATTAAAAACAATGAATTTCTTTTACATTTGTGGATAATGGTTTTGTTTTTCATTTTTTTGACACAAATTGTCTTGCTTTCTTTTTAATTTGTAGGGGTAAATCTTAAATATGCTCAATTTCTTACATGAATATATATTCATTTGCAAAACATAAAATTAATTTAGAAATTCATGTATCCATACAAATATTATTTTGCAGGTGATATTTTACCTCTAGAGTAAGTCAATACTATGTAAAATCTTACCACTATATTCCATTTATTATATTTTCATATACATTAACTGCAATTGCCAGACATGTTCCTAATATAATTATTCCTTATTTATTTAATAATTGTGTCTCACTACTTAGTGAAAACTCAATGTCTTGAAATGGCTTCCATTATATCTTCCGTACTTCTTTTTATTCTTAACTCTCAGAGGCTCTAGCCTTCCTTTTCACTTTTATATGATTGATGTACCTATAGGTGATAAGTACCTTTTCTGCTGCCTCCATTCCCTTTGTTTTTGTTTACACTGTTGGGGATTGAACCCAGGGCCTCCTATATATTAATCAGCCTCTATCTTTGAGTAACATGCCATAACATCTCTATCCTGATCCATCTCTATTGTCAGAGTAATATTCTTGATTTATAGATGAAAAGACTTCCAGAATGTCTGTCTATATACATTCTAGAGAGCTTTGTTTTGTTTAAAACCCACTTTTCCCATTGAAGTATCACTGTTTCCTTTATTTTTGTTTGTGCCTATGTACTAATTCTGCTGTTTTACATGTTTTTCAAATCCTTGATGCTGGGATGAAGAATAGAACGTATTAGTATGGGAATTCCTTGTTTTCCTTCATAAGTCAGTCTTTCATGGAAATCTCCAGTTTGGTCTGTAAATTAGGTGGAATGGGTTTCTTTTCAGTGACCAGAATCCTTAGGACTCTATATACTTATTAATTACTCTTAACAATGTAGTTGTCATATAATAAGATCTGTTTCAATGAGTATATAAATTAATAAATGTAGTTATTTCATTATTTTGATTTATTTAATAAATAATGTTTTAGTACTTCATTTCTTAGTTATTTACTACTGGTTTAATAGAAATATAATTGAATTTTATATAATATGAATCTTTTATTACAATTTTCATGATTCACCCTTACATGAAATGTCTTTCTTTTTAAATTCTATAGAATGTATTACTCTGAGTGAACATAGTATATACAAATGTGTGAGACTGTACACACACAAAAAAGGCAAAACAAATTTTAATTGCCCTACTAATGTTTGTTTTTTATTTAATTTATCATTAATCATTGCTGTTTTCTTTCTTTAGAAAAGGAAGTAAAAAAACATTATTGAAATGCATATTTTGCCAAATGGGGTTTAGTTTACATTTCTAAATTCTTTGTTTTTTGTTGCTATTATTGTGTTTTTGTGTGTGTGTGATTGTTTTTTTGGTTTGTTTTTTCAAGACAGGTTTCCTTCTGTGTAGCCCTGGCTATCCTGAAACTCACTACATCTATACCAGGCTGACTTCAAATTCAAACAGATCTGCCTGCCACTGTCTCCCAAGTGCTGGGATTAAAGATGTGCAACACCATTGCCTGGCCCCTTCTAGATTCTTAAAATAGAAGCTTAAATTATTGATTATATAAATGTATTATCTAGTAATTTTTTATTGAAACTAGATATTTTTCCTTTGAAATATTCTGATTATGGTTTCCCCTCCTCCAACTTCTCTCAGATCCTCCAAACCTCTCCAACCACCCAACCCACCCAACTCACACCTCTGTGCTCTCTTTCACTAGAAAACAGATGTCTTAAGTTAATAATAATAATAATAATAATAATAATAATAATAATAATATAAAAGATAAAATTAAAACAAATAAATCTGAATAGAACAAAGAAAGGAACAGAAAAAAAGAGACAGAGAAAAAGAACAAGAAATTTATAAACACAGAGACACACACATTCATAAGACACACACAAAAATCCCATAAAGACACAAAATTAGAAACCATCACATTAATGGTTTCAAGTTTTCACTCTCTGTTCTTTGGTTATGGGTCTCTGTATTTGTTTTCATCTATGGCAGAAGGAAAATTCTCTGTATCCTATAATTTTTTCAAAAATTGTGGTTTACAATTTTTAAGTCTGTCTGACTGTCTCTGTGTCTCTCTCTGTCTCTGTCTGTCTCTCTCTCTCTCCACCCATACACACACACCCTTTTATTAGAAGGGAGGAAAAGTTATATATTGTGATATCCTATAGAGATATTTAAAACATTTTAAAATTCTTCCAATTTTCATAAAAAGACCTTCACAATCACAATTTTATCCATTTGATTTTTTTCAGTTTATGAAGATAAAATTTCACACATTTCCTTTTGAGACAATATCTCTCAAATCACCTCTCTATGGATTTTTTTTCCTGTGCCATTTTCTTATATCCTGGCACAATTAAGATCTAGGCATTTTCCACTGTAACTCCTATCCTGTATTGTTCAGTTTCTCTTCTTACAGTTACCTTATCCATAGTGCCTTATTTTTTGATTGACGATGTGCAGTCTGATGCCTAAGAGTCATGAAATTATTAAATGGCAGCATAAGCCCTGGTTGAGTGGTTAGTGATACCTCCAACTGTGTGTGGGAGGCTTCTGAATAAAACAAGTAAGAAAGTGAGGGACAGTGGGAAATCTTCCAACTTCTGAATGAACCACTCTCAGTCTTATATTTCTTTCACATTTCCTTTACCCAACGTTGAAATCACTAGTCATCATAGTGCAATCTAAAACGTCAGAAGCATCTCTCATGACAAAGTAAAAATCCATTTTTATTAGTAATTAGTACAATGTCCATCATGTATTAGATTTACAATTCATAATTTAAGTTGTAGCCTTGGGACTAGTCAAGAATCTCACTATTGGCTTTTGGAATTTACACACCACATAGCGGGACTCAATGTCATAGTAATTGTAGACATACTCCCAAGCTTTACATTCAGTCTTGCATGAACCGCTGACCAGATAACACTTATGTGTTCTTTCTGCAATTTGTCTTGTTTTCATCTGAGGAGCTGGAGGAAAACATCAAAAACTATTAATCCACACTTATTCCAGACACGTAGACAAACTGATGGATGGATACACTTATTTGTTGCATAGAATTTCATGTGTGTGTGTGTGTCTGTGTGTGTGTAATCAAACCTAAACAACATTAATGAAACCTTTTCTCTTTCAAGTTTATTTGTCCAACAATATTTTCCTTTGCTTTTAGCATTCCCCTTTTCAAGATATATTTCAAATATTTACTTTCAATATAACCTCTCAAAAGAGAAAGATGATGAGAAAAAATAATTTACTGGTCTTTGGTAGAAATAACCATCCCCTCTCTTCCCCTCCTCTTATTTCTGAGCTAGTGGCAAAAACTTGATTTGTCATCTAATGAAATTATATTTGAAAGAAAGAAACAGGATTCCTTCTGATAACAAATAGTCTCATAACACAATTTAACACAATCACCAGGTCTAATGTTGCATCTTTGGACAAATATTCTCATTTCTTAACTATTTGTTCTCGTTTTTTCAAACAATAAAATGAGTATCCACTGAACAGCTGAAGAGGAGTCTCAAAACAATATTTTCAATAAAATAAAGAAAGAAAGAAAGAAAGAAAGAAAGAAAGAAAGAAAGAAAGAAAGAAATAGAGCAGTAAATAAATAAAGCAATGAATGAATAAATAAACAAATAAAGCAGTATTTCCCTTCACATTCTTCCCATATTCCAAACATTACCTGAAGGACCACAAGACAGTGGAGATAACAATAAGGAAAATGCAAAATATTTTTATTGCTGATTTCGTTCCTCAAGTGTAGTTAGGATAAAGCTCAAAGACCTTTTCTTTTGAAGAAAAGGAGGACCTTCTCAGCTGTTACAATTCTGATTAATTATGCCTTTCTGAACTGAGCAAAATTTGCAAAAGTATTGTGGAATAGTAAATACCTATAATAAAGGACTTTTTGCTCTGTTGCCTCAATAAGCCAGACATAAATTCATTTTCTGTGGGACAAGAGAAAAAAATGGATTTAAAGTACCCTTGGCAATTAGTTGAATCTAAATGCTAAACTAAATAAACTAGGCCCAGAAAAAAAAAGATGATAGTTCCTTCATATGTGGAAGATAGATTATACATACATACATACATACATACATACATACATACATACATAATACAGGCATACATACATACATAATACAGGCATACACACATATGTCATGAGAGCAGAAGCATAAGCATTTAAGGACAGACATGAAAAGAGTGAAAGGGGTAGGGTTGAACAAGAGTGTATTATTGAATGGAAACAAAGTACAAGGAGACACATATTTGAAAATGTCATAATGAGATTCATTATTTTGTGCACTAAAAGCTTAGTAAAATGAAGGAAAGAAAAAACAGAGAGTCTACCATTACATTTTTAGTCATATGCTTTCTTAAACATGCTTTACTCTGGACACTGACCTAAGCATGTATAACATATGTTTTTACTGTTTTGTAGTGCAGGGTTTGGACCAAAGACTCACACATGCTGGGCTAGTGCTTTATCCATTTTACTTGTGAGTGATGTCCCAGCTCTTGTTCTATGTATTTGTATATATTAAGCAGATTAATCCTCATGGTAATCCTAATCAATAGAAACTGCTTTCTAACTGAGCATATTGTTGCCTCCTAATGACTTATGTCCTCATTGGCAGAGTTAAGATGAACTCTCAGCTACTGTGCTAACTGGACATGTCTTCTCAACCTCCTCACCTCTGGCTTCCTCACGTCTGAGGAGAACATTTCTGCATCTGTACACATGACCTGGTCCAGATATTGCTCCTGTAATTTAATTTTATATAAACAGGAAATATATCTTTATAAATATCTTAACACTGTTACTTAAAGTTGTCTTACTTGTTAAATAGACAACGTTGTGCTTTTTATGACATATAACTATTCCATCATGAAATAATGTAATTTATAGTAGAACACAGTGTGTTAAGAGTCTGAAGAACACTACATTTAGGGAAAGAATATCTTGCAATCTGATACTTTCATGTATGAACACATGAGCTGTACAATTAAAAGAAATGCTCACCAGGCTACTAGGATCCATTGAAAAATGGATTGGTAAGGCGAGTATTTTATACTTAGAATTATAGTGGAAAGTACCAAACAAATACCACTTGTCAAATCTGACATAATTGACACATGAACATTAACAGTTTTGGTCATGCTTAGCTTGATACTGAACTCCAAAATGATACATCCCTCAAATGACCAACTTATGTTCTAGCTCATTCTGTTGTTGAGTTAAAAAAAAAAGTACAAATGAAACATAATTAAAAAGGTAAATATAAGCATTAATTTAGTATTTAATTAAATAAAATATGACCTACCACAAAAGTCTGCTGCAGTGGAGCCCAAATCCATTTTATTGTCTACATTAAGCCACAGAGATCAATGTAGTGCATCAGATGGACCCTGTAAATTTCTGTGACTTTATCATATTTGATTGACAGTAGTTAGCATCACATAAATAAAGGAAGGTTTTGATAATACAGAATATTTGCATAAAACCTGAATAAGAAAAAGTAATGTCTTACTGCCTCTGCTCAGAATCCTTCAGAGAAGGGTGGGAGAAATTCACATTTTATTATTCTGTCAACAAAAGCCTCATTTTGTGGCTTGTTTTAAAGAAAAATGGAAAAAGTGGATTGAGAATGAGAAGGGCCATTGATTTATAAAGAAAAACCAAAGATATAGAGATTTTTAAATAAAATAGAATACTGTCCTTAAGTATATGAACCCAAAGGAAAGATGGGTGAAGCATCATGCTTTTATACAATTCAATCAGAATTCTGAGAGTTGAGCTGGGCCTCTGAGCATGTGACTGTACTCCCAGCAGTGGAGAGACTTAAGAAGAGTCTTGAGATCAAGGTCAGCCTGGGTTCTATAGTGAGACCTGTGTAGTTTGAGGTCAAAATATGAATGTTTCTACTTTCTTCTTATTCAGAAAATAAAAGTGTAGGAAAGGAAAATTTTTAGGAGAAGAGAGTATGATTGAGTTTCAGGAGACTGCTACGGAAAAACACTCACATAGGAAATTTTCTAGACCAAAGCACAGGTGTTGAAAACACAAGCAAAGAACACCATGCTGAGAAGAGAGACGGGCAGAACTGATGGCAATTGAAATGCTGTTCTGTTTAACCTCGATATTCCTACATTTCTAGTAAACCTTTGGTTTGATGGACAGCCTCTGAATCTTAGTTTCTCATCCAGGAATAACAACCAAAGATAAGTATCAGGTCGCTTGGTATTTCAAAGACATGATGTTCTTTCTATTTTTTTTTATTATAAAGGAATATTCATGCTTTCAACAACCACTCCCCAAGAGAAAACATATTATTTCAACTAATATAATTCATTTAAAAGTAAATTAATCACTAAAAATACCAGGGAGATTACCTAAATTAGTGTACTCTGAACCTGTAGCATTTAGAATCAATTAGGATGATCTTTTAAAGAAAATGTACAGCCTACACATCATCCCTGCTTTGTCTAACTTCTTAACAGTTAGTCCAAACTTCCATCATAGAACAACTTCCACACTTCTAATCCCTATCATATTTAATCAATTACCACATGCATAGTCAACAATTTGTTTCTGTTAGGCATGTGCTCAGTTGCATAATATCTTCTACTTAAGTCTCCTCACTTCTTTTAACTAGGGTTAGATGATGCTGAGAATTGAGAGGGAGATTTCTCTTCTCCCCAACCAACACAAATAACCATCTCAACATTGCAGAGGTAAAACCTACCCTATTGTTGGGGTAGCTCGTCATGTGCAGAAATCTTGTGTTATGGGTTTGCAGTTCTTCAGGATTTCTGCAAGGTATATTTCCTGTCTGAGCATTGGTTACTTGGATTTAAGAATAAAACTAACTGCCATCTTTGTGTAGTCTAAATTACATAAGAAAATAAATAATTCTCTTAAACTGTTTCCCTAGAAATTCCTCATTTACATTTGACTGCATCAGCAATGCCAGAAATCTTTATTCAGTGTTCTGTCAGAAATTCTACTCTTTGATATTTCCTTATTCTTCAGGAATCAGGGAAACTACAGATGAAGAAAAACTATGTTTATATGCATATGCATGTATATTCAACATATTGTACTTACAGACTGAAACCAAGAGGAATATTAAAGAATTAAAATGACTGAAAGACCAAAAAATAATATCTAGAAATAACTGTCACCAGCTGTGACATCACCTCTGGAAATGTCCTTGAATAACATTATGGAAAAAACCTAAATTTTCTTTAGTCTCCTCACAATCAACAAGTATATATTACTGCCAAAGACCTCAGTTTGGTAAACAGACCCTACTAAAACTCATAGAACATCTGATAAGATAAACTTGATAGTTTTTAAAATATTGGAATTGCCATATATCTGTGCATATTTGTAAAGTCTAATGTGAAATTTAATGCATGTATACATTAGGTAGTGATTAATGCAGAGTAGTTAGTTGTAAGAGCCAAAATTAAAGTATAGGATATCAAAAATTATCCACTGTGTGTTCCCAGAACCTTGGTAGTAGTCTATAGAAGTGTAGAAATAGATTCATAAAGTATTTCTAAAGTATATTTAATATAATTGCCTACTTATGTGCACCATTATGTTGCAACCCCTTTGTAAGACTTTGAAGAATGTATAACTTGTCCTTTTGTTGTTATTGTTGTTATTACTATAAAATGTTGTGTTTGTATTTAAGGCTTGCTTCCATTGGCTATGTGACCTTTTTGATACTGAGTTTTCTTCTCTAAAATCTAATAATTATAATATGATTCATTATTTTGCATACTCAATGAAATTATGCATAAATCTTGGAGTGGTTGCTTATAATTTAAAGAATTGCTGATATCTGACTGTATGTTGACACAACTCTATGATAGGCTCCATGATAGAACAGTAAGATAGACAAAGCCTATAATAATCATTCAAATAAATTATTTTGGAAATTACATGTTCTGCACAAAATATAACCAGTTATTAGGGAAGATAGTGATGTTTTCAGTGATAAAGGATAATCTCTATCATCCCTAAAGTGGGACAAAAACCAAACCATGTCCCATGGAGGGGGAACATGCTAAACATTCTTCTAAGCACTGTATGCCTGTAGTAAGCCAGTGAGATAATGCATATTGAGATATACATAGATAGGAAACATGGACAGATACTTAGAAGGAAATATTGGATGTTATAATAAGTGTTGTCCTAATTAGCTTTATTATCAAAACAACTGAAAGGAACGCCTTAACTGAGAAATTACTTGATCAGATTGCCCTATGGTGATGTCTATAGGGAACTGTTTTCATACTAATTGATAAAGGAGATCTCAGCCCACTGTTGGCAGTCCCACTCCCTAGGCAGGTGATCCTGGTCTACATAAGAAAGTCAGCTAATTGCTCAGTGTGATGACACACTCCTTTAATACCAGCACTTGGGTGAGCAGAGGCAGGGGATCTCCTTAAATTTGAAGCCTGGTCTACATAGGAAGCTCAGGCTAGACAAAGCTACGTAGTGTAACCCCTTCTTTTAAAAAGGTCATGAAGGAAGAAAAGAAAAATGGAAAATCGGTTAAGAGTGAGACTGTGAGGAAGCCGAACAACAGTGTTCCTCCCTGGTTCTGCTTCAAGTTCCTGCTTTAGTTCCTGCATTGAATTCCCTCAATGATGGACTTGATTGGGAAGTTTAAGACACGAAACCCTTTCCTCCCCTGAGTTACTTTTGGTCACGGTGTTTGTCATAGCAACAACATGAAATGAGGACAAATGTAGCACGTGACAGAAGAGGATTTGGAGATCCCTGTAGCTTGCAGACGGAGGACTCTGGAGTGGCATAGGAATAGGAAGGGTGATGACTATGTAGGTTCTTTCAGAATTCTGTGATTGAAAAGATGGTAGCTCCATGGGGAAGTGACTCTGAACTAACTCAGTGTGTTCTTCCTTGCGTTTTCCTTTTCCTGTGACTTCTGCTGGTTTTTCACATTGCAAAGTTTCCCTTACTGCCCGAATCTGATCACAGTGGAGGAGAGCCAGTCTCTGATATGCTGATTCTTTGCCAGATGACTGATATCGATAAGGATCTGATATGATATTGTCCACTTTCCAACAAGGCTTAGGTTAGATTCTTTCTGGTTTCTGGAGGAACAATGCCACGGGGGAGTTTAAAGCAGTATAAATTTCTTGTGTCTTCTGATAGCCATTTAATTTAGAGAACATTCACATTCTCCAACCATGCAGCCTTTAAAACAGAAAAAATAAAACTCCCAGGGTAGGTATTTTAGGTTAATTAAAAGATAAGTAAACTCATAATGGAAAACTGGTAACAAAAATGTGAGAGGAAAGACAGAGAGTGAGAAGCAAAGACACAGGGGAGAAAGAGGAAGAAGAAAAGAATAGAATGTGAGGGTAGAAAGAGAAGAGGGAGAATTGTAGGTAGATGGATGCATCCCTGAGTTACTGAAGCAGTACTCTGCGGATGCTGGTGTGTATATGAATAACCTAAGCTATTAAAATGCAGATTCCAGTTCAGTAGTTTGAGGTCAAAACTGAGGTTTTCTACTTTTGTACATATTACGTGTAGATTAAATGCTGCAGGTATGCAAAGCAAATTTTGTGTACCTCTGGACACATCATCTAAGCAGGTCCTTATTCTATCACACCCCTATTTGTGGTCCTTATCAATATTGCCTTATAGAGATGAGATACCCAAGATGTGATGAGAAATACATATGAGTATATTATTAGAAAGTGATTCTTTTAGCAAATTTCAGTCTTCAATAAATATTTTCACTGTGTTCAAATTTCAAATAAATATCAGACATTGGATGTGAAAATATGCACCTTTGTTAGATAATTGTCAGGAGACTGTAATTCTGCAGTCAATCTCTTTTCCTATTCAGTGGAAGGATTGTTATTCAGAGGGCAAAAATCAATAGTGGAAGACAGATTCTGTGTCTTTTTCCAATGTATGAAATAAAAGAAATTGGTGAACAAGGATACATATTTGGAAACTTTTGGTTTTGATATAAAGGCTCATTTGTCTTCAGCTGGTGACATTGTTGGGAGGTGAGTGAATCATTAGTGTGCTGAATTCTCTGGTGGATTAATTCATTCATAAACTCATGGCCAAACAGACTTAAGACGTGTGTCCCCATTGCAGTAAG